AGACAGGTTGGATCAACTTGAGTCCAGAAGTTCGCAGACCAGCCGTCCACATGGTGAACACCGTCTACTAACAAAATACAAGACATAAGCTGGCATGGCCGGCGGGGTGCTTCCTCCCACTACGGGCAGGCTGAGGCAGAGAATCACAGAACCTAGAGAAGCGGAAGTCCATGGAGACAAGGATTGTGCCCACTGCCACTCCAGCTGCGGGGCAACGGAGTTCGACTCTGTTCCCCCCCCAAAAAAAAAAATTATCTCTTTCCCAAGAGCTCAAAACCTATCTCTGTTTTAGGTCAAGCATTCTGACTGACTTTATTCATAACTATGACTAGTACATACATAAGCAAGTATATTACCGTTATACTACTATAATATTTAATTTACTATTATGGAATTAGTTATTGAGTTATTACAATCATGTCAATATAACTACAGAATACTAACTAATACATGTTAATATATGTCATATAACTATAATACACATCTATCCCAATCATCGTAACATGATTATAATACTGCATGTTATATCATACATATGGTGCGATATATATATATATTCTATTAATGCCCTTGCTGCCTCTCAGAGAATACATTTCCCAGCAATTGCTGCGTGTTTAAACAGGAACAGGGCTGGGCACGGTGGCTCATGCCTGTAATCCCAGCACTTTGGGAGGCCAAGGCGGGCGGATCACCTGAGATCAGGAGTTTGAGACCAGCCTGGCCAACATGGAGAAACCCCGTCTCTACTAAAAAAAAACACACAAAAATTAGCCGGGCATGGTGGTGGGTGTCTGTGATCCCAACTACCTGGGAGGTTGAGGCAGGAGAATCACTTGAACCTGGGAGGCGGAGGTTGCAATGAGGCAAGATTGTGCCACTGCACTCCAGCCTGGGTGACAGAGGGAGACCCTGGCTCAAAACGAAAACAAAAACAAAACAGAATGTCAACTTTGCCACCTGAACATTTTATGAGAAGGAAAAAACAAAAAAAACCAAAAAAACCCCGACAATCACGTATGATACGATGATGTCGGCAATAATAATAACAATTTATTATTATTCTTATTTTTGTGTGATGGATTCTCTCTCTGTTGCCCAGGCTGGAGTGCAGTGGCATGATCTCGGCTCAGTGCAACCTCTGCCTACCGGGTTCAAGTGATTCTCCTGCTTCAGCCTCCCCAGTAGCTGGGATTACAGGCGTGAGTCACCACACCAGGCTAATTTTTGTATTTTTAGTAGAGACGGGGTTTCACCACACTGGGCAGGCTGATGTCAAATTCCTGACCTCAAGTGATCCACCCGCCTTGGCCTCTGAAAGTGCTGGGAATACAGGTGTGAGCCACTGTGCCCAGCCAGGAATAAATTATTTTTGATGCAGTCAAAGAATATAGTGGGGATGAAGAAAAAAAATTGTTAAGGAAAAATTAGATCCTTCTCCAAAATCTTGCCCCTTCCCTGGCCTCAACTGAAGGTGCGATTAAGGGAGTACTATAAACACCAAGTATCTTGACTGCAGGAGGACCCTAGCAAGAGATAGTGCTGAGGAAGTATTATTCCTATACTGTAGTCAGACTTTTACAAACTAATAAAAATTAATTACACTGTAATTGATTTTATTAAGTATTTATTTAGAGACAGAGTTTTGCTCTTGTTGCCCAGGCTGGAGTGCAGTGGCACAATCTTGGCTCATTGCAACCTTGGTCTCCTGGGTTCAAGTGATTCTCCTGCCTCAGCCTCCCAGGTAGCTGCAATTACAGGTGTGTGCCACCACGCCTGGCTCATTTTGTATTTTTAGTAGAGACGGGGTTTCACCATGTTGGTCAGGCTGGTCTCGAACTCCTGACCTCATGTCATCCACCCACCTGAGCCTCCCAAAGTGCTGGGATTACAGACATGAACCACTGTACCTGGCCTATAATTGATTTTAAAATAAAGTTTCAGATTTACCAATATACTTCTGAAGTTCTATAACTCTGCAGAATACTTGTTTTAACACATGGTAATCATGCCAAAGCACGCAGCAGACCCCTCTAGTACTTAATCATCTCAGCCCCTCATGGGTCTATCTGTATGCGGCGGGGTGAGGGCAGGTCAGCTGTTGCTGTGGTTTGAATGTTTGTCCTGTCCAAAATGCATGCTGAAATTTTATTGTAAATGTAGTATTACTGGGAAGTGCGGCCTTTAAGAGGTGATTAGGCCACATCATGGATGGGACTGGTACTGTAATAAAAGGGCAGGTCAGCCCCGTCTTGCTCTTTTGCCTTTCCACCTTCTGCCATGGGATGTCGCAGCAAGAAGGCCCTTGCAAGATGCCAGCCCTGGATATAGGACTTCTCAGCCTCCAGAACTGTGAGGCAATAAATTTCTGTTTTTATAAATTCCCCAGTCTCAGGTATTCTGTTATAGCAGCATAAAACAGACTAAGACAGCTGTCTTACCTTGTATCAGTGGAAGGTAAAGGTGGTATTGATCAAGTTCTCCACTGAAGACAGCAAAAGCCTGGCGTTTTAACAGCATGGCTTTCTGTTCAAAACTTGAGAATAGTTTCAAAGAACTGCTCTGCATGTCTAGAATAAATACAGCAAATATGTTTTACTTAGTGAGAAAACCACAATTGGAGGTAAGTGACGGGAAATTCATACTAGTGTAATTCTGTATTCCCTGGTGAAAAATAATGATCTTTATTAAGTAAGGACATGAGATTATTGTTCCCATGTATATTAAAAAAAATACTTATTTCTCTTTTTCTTTCTTATTTGAAACAGGATCTCATTGCCCAGGCTGGAGTGCAGTGGTGGGATCAGCTCATTGCAGCCTTGACCTCCTGGGTTGAAGTGATCCTCCTGCCTCAGTCTCCCAAGTAGCTGGGACTACAGGTGTGTGCCACCATGCCCAGTTCTTTGTAGAGATGGGGTTTCACTATGTTGTCCAGGCTGATCTTGAACCCCTGGGCTCAAATGATCTGCCCACCTCAGCCACTCAAAGTGCTGGGATTACAGGCGTGAGCCACTGTGCCCAGCAAATACTTATTTCTTTAATGATACTTAATGATAGTGCATGAGAAGGGATCTGAGGTGTAGAAAAGTCCTCCTAGTAAATTATGGAAATTACTTTCAGCACAAATGTCGAGATGTGAAGCTAGATGCTTTCAGCAGTATTTCTCCACTAAAAACTATGAAAAAGGTTGTCACGGCATTCTTGTCAATAAATTGCAACTGGAAAAGACTCATTTATTTAGTTCTGCCATATTATGAACATCACATTACAGTCTTTGTGGCTTAGACAGCACCATAAAAGTATGAGTAGGGTTCGGAAAGACATGATAAACGCTGGTTCTATTGGTATTGATCCTATCAAGTGTGAGTTACGCAAAAGTAACACAGAACTTACTCATTAAATCCTTAAACATTGTTTTCTCATGAGTCAAAAGATGGTCAATAATGGACTTCCAACTGGATATTAAAGAAAGCAAAATCAATTAAATTTGCAGTGGATGATAGTTTGATTCAAAACATTAAAAAAATAACATACCCTCTTAAGATATATTAAAAACTGCTTTCTGTGCCAGGTGCAGTGGTTCACGCCTATAATCTCAGCACTTTGTGAAGCCGAGGTGGGTGGATCACCTGAGGTTGGGAGTTCGAGACCAGCCTGAGCAACATGGAGAAACCCCATCTCTACTAAAAATACAAAAGTAGCAGGGCATGGTGGCGCATGCCTGTAATCCTAGCTATTCAGGAGGCTGAGGCAGGAGAATCGCTTGAGCCTGGGAGGCAGAGGTTGCAGTGGGCCGAGATTGTGCCATTGCACTCTAGCCTGGGCAACAAGAGCGAAACTCCATCTCAAAAACAAACAAACAAACAAACTGCTTTCTGAAAAGAAGTTAGTGATGGAAATAAATAGTTTACATATAAAAGAAAGCTATGCTAAAGCTTTTCATTTATAACCCTAACACAGGAAATGAATAATTACTTTTTCCAGTTTACCACAGAGAAACAAATTGACAAGGCACTCTGGCTTTTTCAAGGGTTATTCTTAAATATGTTCATACAGGATGATATTCACCCAGTTGTGTTGATGAAAAGAGTGGGGCAGTGAAGACAAATACCACCCTTAGCTCTTCTTTCCAAATGGGCTACCCCAGCAGAGCAACAAGATCACATGGAAGGAGGCCACAGGGCCACCAGCAGCCCTCTGGGGGTGGCCATGCTTTCATGCCATACAAAAAGGTTCCCAATCTCTACCCTCTATCGCTGAGCCTTCCTGTCATTAATAAAGGAGTAGCTTTCTTTCTGGTTATTTTCAGACAGGGCCCAGGGTCTTGCGCTGTCGCCCAGGCTGGAGTGCAGTGGCACAATCACAGCCTACTGCAGCCTCAACCTCCTGGGCTCAAGTGATCCTCCTGCCTCAGGCTTCCATGTAGCTGGGACCACAGGCATATGCCAGCATGCCTGGCTAATTTTTTTTTGATTTTTTTTTTTTTTGTAGAGATGGGGTTTCACTTTGTTGCCCAGGCTGGTCTCCAACTCCTGGGCTCAAGCAATCCTTCTGCCTACGCCTCCCCAAATGTTGGATTACAGGTATGAGCCACCATGCCCAGTCCTGAGTGATTTTCTTGATCTCAGGAAAAGGCCCAGGAGCACATCTTACATCTGAGTCTCAGTGGATCTCTGCCTGGCTACTGGCTGAACTTGTGGAGTATCAGCCGAGAAGTGGGGTAAAGACACCCCCAGGGTCACCCAGTGGGCTCTATCATCTTAACACTGGCCAATTACTTTGTGATTACAAGACAAAGCAGTATTAGACAGAACAAGTATCACTGGAACCCCAGGTTATGCTGTTTATTTATTTGAGACGGAGTTTTACTCTTGTTGCCCAGGCTGGAGTGCGGTGGTGGGATCTTGACTCACTGCAAACTTCACCTTCCAGGTTCAAGCAATTCTCATACCTCAGCCTCCCGAGTAGCTGGGACTACAGGCGTGCGCTGTCATGCCTGGCTAATTTTTGAATTTTTTAGTAGAGACAGGGTTTTGCCATGTTGGCCAGGCTGGTCTCGAACTCCTGGGCTCAGGTGATCCACCCACCTTAGCCTCCCAAAATGCTGGGATTGTAGGTGTGAGCCACCGTGCCCAGCCAAGAAATAACATGCTCTCTGAATTAAGTGAAATTCTTCTTTGTACTTTAAAAGACGTAATCCCTTTCCCGTGAACATATGGTCAACATGTGAGCCTGTGACAGGGACGTCCTGTTATCCGGGGTGACGCTATGGCTCTGCTTCTATTTCAGGAATGAGAATTATGTAAACCAAAACACTGTTTCCACCTGAGGATCCAGAGCACATTGTTATCAGGACAGCATCTCTTACTGAACACAAGAAGTATCCATCTGAAAGAAAGCAGGGTCGAGAAACAGTTCCAGGACCTCCTTCCGCCAGGCTCGTTTGGTGTAGGCATAGCCACTCAGGGAGCTCAGCAGCTGAGCGCCAGCCCGGAAGCTGGGAGCATTGTAGGCACTGAGTGGGAGTGGGAAGAAAGAAGGGTCAAGGTCAAGGACTGTGCAAGGAAAACCACTTGATTCATTTCTCAAGACATATTTTTCTGCATATGGGTGGGAAGAAATGGCGACGATGACGTTACCTGTGGTTGCGTAAGTATGGAAAAACATAGTAAAGCAGACGGGAGATTAACGGCACAGCTTTCTCCTTCTCGTCACTTCGATAAACCATGTCCAGGAGGGAAGCCAGTACCTAAAAGAACAAGACCCTAAGAAAACAGAAACTGGCTGGGCGTGGTGGCTCACACCTGTAATCCCAGCACTTTGGGAGGCTGAGGTGGGTGGATCACTTGAGGTTGGGAGTTTGAGACCAGGCCGGCCAACCTGGTGAAACCTCATCTCTACTAAAAATACAAAAATTAGCCAGGTCCTGTAATCCCAGCTACTCAGGAGGCTGAGGCAGGAGAACTGCTTGAACCCAGGGGGCAGAGGTTGCAGTGAGCCGAGATCACGCCACTGCACTCTAGCCTGAGTTCAGACTCCAGAGCGAGACTCCATCTCAAAAAAAGAAAACAGAAAGAAAAAAAAAAGAAATCAGAAACCCTCGGAAGCAAGCGACAGTAAGAAGTGCAGTCATGGCCGGGTGTGGTGGCTCACGCCTGTAATCCCAGAACTATGGGAGTCCAAGGTGGGTGGATCACGAGGTCAGGAGATTGAGACCATCCTGGCCAACACAGTGAAACCCCATCTCTACTAAAATACAAAAAATTAGCTGGGCGTGGTGGTGTGCACCTGTAGTCCCAGCTACTCAGGAGGCTGAGGCAGGGGAATCACTTGAACCTGGGAGGCGGAGGTTGCAGTGAGCCGAGATTGCGCCACTGCCCTCCAGCCTGGCAACAGAGCAAGACTCTCCACGGTGCAGCTTGAGGCCAATGCTGCCTGATGGACGAGCTCACCTGGGAGGGTGCAGCCCACACTCACTGGCACCTGAGAATGAACAAATGTCTTTGCAACAACTTGTGACGGCACTCATTTCCATAAAGGATGACAGGTCAGGTGTGTATTTACCTCTGCCAGGAGAGAGAGGGCTTGCACGCTGTACACGGAAGGGGCGGATGAAGACACCATTGCTGAAGTTGCAGCAGCATCTGTGAACAGAAAGAGGCATTTGTGTGTTAACTATGATGGATGGGTCACCATTTACTGTCCCCAAAAGCACTGCATGAATGTGAGCCATCAGCTCCCACCTTTCATACCAGTTGTGTCCATATGACTCAGGTACTCCTCTCTGTTAACATTCAACATTTATTTATTTATTTTTATTTTTTTTTTTGAGAAGAGTCTCACCCTGTCGCCCAGGTTGGAGCGCAGTGGTGTGATTTCAGCTCACTGCAGCCTCCACCTCCCAGGTTTAAGCAATTCTCCTGCCTCATCTTTCCGAATAACTGGGACTACAGGCATGTGCCACCATGCCTGGCTAATTTTTGTATTTTTAGTAGAGATGGGGTTTTGCCATGTTGGCCAGGCTGGTCTCAAACTCCTGGCCTCGCGATTCTGGGGACCGCTTGCCCTCCGGCAGATCGGGCTGACACGGAAATGCCAGCCACGCAATCTTCAGCCTACTCTTAAATACCTTCTTTCATTTGTGTAAACGTCAAGACATGCCTCATTAACCGAATAAGTAGCTAGAACCACCCGTCTCTTGATTTGACCAGACAGCACCATCCCCCATGACCTGTCTCCACCCCTACTCCATATTAGTCCATCCTAGCCAATTCCAGATTCCTCCTAGAGAGCCCTGCGAGTTGGGCCTTCACTTCCAGATTTTTGCTTATGCCAGCTGGTTGCTCCAAGGGAAAGGCCTTGCAATGTTCCCAACTAGCTTCCTAGGAATGCTTCTGAGTATTTTCAAGAATAATCAGGAAAGGAACGGGAAAGGAAGTTATAATAAGAAAAAGAATGTTAAGTGCCAAACAGCAACTGGTCCAATAAATATAAAATGCAAGCCAAACCGTGGAGCATTGATTAACATTAAGCTTCTATGGAGCACCACACAAAGGTAAAAATAAACAGTTACAATTAAATAATATAGGGCTGGGTGTGGGGGGGTGGCCATGCCTGTAACCAGCCAACTTGGAGGCTGAGGCTGAGGCAGGGGAAATCACTGAGGTCAAGGAGTCGAGAACCCAAGCCCTGGCCACAATGGTGAAAACCCGAGTCTACCACCACACACAAAAATACCAAAAAGGAGCAGGCCAGATGCCACATGCCTGCAGTCACCTACTCGGCGAGGACTAGACAAGAGAACGCGTGATCCGGGAAACGCGAGGCTGCAGTGACCCGAGAATCCATGCCATGCACTCAAGCCTGGATGACAGAGTGAGACCTCCTATGCAAAAAAAAAAATCTATAATAATTTATTTAAACCATAAATACTAATCAAAATATTTATCAACATGCCACTCAATAAAGAGAATTATAATAGGCCCTGGCACTCGGTGGTCTTGCATGCCTATAATCAGCACCTGTCATGGTTGCAGGCTGAGTGGCGGATCCACCTGAAGGTCAGGCCGTTTGAGACCAGCTGACCACACTGGGAGAACCCCCGAGCCTTTTTGTCTCTCAGCAGAATGAACCAAAATTAGGGGGTGGTGGTGTATGTGCCCTGGTAGCCCAAACCACTTGGAGGCTGAGGCCCAGGAAATTGCTTGAACCTGGAGGTTGAGTTGCAGTGGAGCCTAGATGGCGCCATTGCATTCAGGCTGGGCACAGAGCCCAAAACTTTGTCCTCAAAAAGAAAAAAACAAAACCAAAAACTAATTAATGAATTCATTCTCTTGTGGGTGGCCTAAAGTCTGAAATCCAAGCCGTATTTTGCAACTTACAGGCCACATTCAACATTCAGACTACCCAACATTTTTTGCTTTTTTTTGTTTTTTTGGAGTGGTGGTTAGGACAAGGCTGTCTTTGCTCCTGTTCAGCCCAGAACGGAAGCGCAGGTGTGCCAATCAAGACCTCCAACTGCGCCTGGCGTGGCTGCTCATGCCCTGTTAATTCCAGCAAGTTGGGACGCCTGAGGCAGTGGATCCCAAGTCCAACGAGATCGAGACCATCATGGCCAACATGGTGAAACCCTGTCTCTACTAAAAATACAAAAATTAGCTAGGCATGGTGGGGTGTGCCTGTAATCCCAGCTACTTGGGAGGCTGAGGCAGGAGAAATGCTTGAACCCGGGTGGCAGAGATTGCGATGAGGCAAAATAGCGCCACTGCACTCCAGCCTGGTGACAGTGTTGCGTGAAGTCAGGGACCCCAAACAGAGGGACCGGCTGGAGCCGCGGCAGAGGAACATAAATCGTGAAGATTTCATTTTAATATGGACATTTATCAGTTCCCAAATAATACTTGTATAATTTCTTATGCCTGTCTTTACTTTACTCTCTTAATCCTGTTATCTTCGTAAGCTGAGGATGGACGTCACCTCAGGACCACGGTGATAATTGGGTTAACTGTACAAATTGACTGTAAAACATGTGTGTTTGAACAATATGAAATCAGTGCACCTTGAAAAAGAACAGAATAGCAGTGATTTTTAGGCAACAAGGGAAGACAACCATAAGGTCTGACTGCCTGCAGAGTCGGGCAAAAACAGCTATATTTTTCTTCTTGCAGAGAGCCTATAAATGGATGTGCAAGTAGGAGAGATATTGCTAAATTATTTTCCTAGCAAGGAATATTAATATTAATACCCTGGGAAGGGAATGCTTTCCTGGGGGGAGGTCTATAAATGGCCGCTCTGGGAGTGTCTGTCTTATGCGGTTGAGATAAAGACTGAGATACGCCCTGGTCTCCTGCAGTAGCCTCAGGCTTATTAGGGTGGGGAAAAACTCCACCCTGGTAAATCTGTGGTCAGACTGGTTCTCTGCTTTGGAACCCTGTTTTCTCTTAAGATGTTTATCAAGATAATACGTGCACTGCTGAACATAGACCCTTATCACTAGTTCTGCTTTTGCCCTTTCCCTTGTGATCTTTGTTGGATCCTTATCAGTAGTTCTGCATTTGCTCTTTGTCCTGTTACCTCAGAAGCATGTGATCTCTGTTAGACCCTTATTAGTAGTTCTGCTTTTTGCCCTTTGTCCTGTTACCTCAGAAGCATGTGATCTCTGTTAGACCCTTATTAGTAGTTCTGCTTTTTGCCCTTTGAAGCATGTGATCTTTGTACCTACTCCCTGTTCTTATGCCCCCTCCCTTTTTGAAACCCTTAATAAAAACTTGCTGGTTTTGAGGCTTGGGTGGGCATCACAGTCCTACCGATATGTGATGTCACCCCTGGTGGCCCAACTATAAAATTCCTCTCTTTATACTGTCTCTCTTTATTTATCAGCTGGCCAACACTTATGGAAAACAGAAGAACCTACATTGAAATACTGGGGGTGGGTTCCCCCAATAACAGAGCAAGACTCCATCTCAAAAAAATAAAAATAAAAAAGACTGACTGCAGCCTCAACCTCCTGGGCTTAAGCCATCCTCAGGCTCCCGGGTAGCTGGGACTACAGGTGCATGGCACCACATCTGGATAATTTTTAAATTTCTTGTAGAGACGAGGTCTCCCTATGTTGCCCAGACTGTAGACTAGACACACTTCAAGTGCTCAACAGCCATCTGTGGCTAATGGCTACTATACTGGCCAATGTAGGTAAAATATACAGAGATTGCAAGTCATCACAGCATGTGATGAAAAAGCCATAAATTGTATTCAGTGGATTGGCTTTCTGGTTTATCTAGGACCACGGGTTCGTCCTAGAAATGCATCTTTCAATAATATAACAAGAAATAAAGGTCAATAAGTTAAACTGACTCAGTGGGGTAAAGTGAGGAGTCATCCACTCTCAGGAGTATGATCAGTAAAAAATCTGGTTAGTAGCTAGAGAGACAAACTTGAAGCTGGCTTCTCAGCCAGTGTCATCAAGTGTCATCAGCTAAGAGTGGCTATAATCCTTGACATCTGAGAATTTTATAATCCTGACCTCAACTGTGCCACAAGGTTCCTAGGCTCAGCAGTTGTGTTGAGGCGTGAAGCAGGGCACACCTGCCTGCTGGGTGGGTGCGCTTGAGGGAACAGGCTAATCGGCTAACTTAGGCAGGGCTGGAAAGTCAGGGAAAGGGTTTAGGGGCTTAGAGGAGTTCCTGTAAGGACCAATGAAAGCACTGAGTGGATGAGTGTGATATTGTGGAAATGTTTTTGGCCTTTCTTCCCATTTCCCAGCTATAACTCCTAAATTCCTTGGATTCTCCAAAGTAATATGTGTCTTTTTGTATGCTACTGAGATGGCTGTGGCTGCGGACCCCCAGATAACTTCAGCTCCCCAACCTCCAGGAAGGGGAGAAGGGTTAAAGGTTAAATTGATCAGCAATGACCAATGATTTAATCCATCATGCCTACGTAACGAAGCTTCCACAAACCCCAAAGTAACTGGGTTTGAATGAGCTTCTGGATGGCTAAACATGTGGAGGTTCCTAGAGGGTGGTGCCCAAGGAGGGCATGGAAGCTCCGTGCCCCTTCCCAAGTCCCTTGCCTAATCATCGATTCATCTGTATCCTTTCTTTTTTTTTTTTTTGAGACAGAGTCTTGCCCTGTCGCCCAGGCTGGAGTGCAGTGGCCAGATCTCAGCTCACTGCAAGCTCCGCCTCCTGGGTTTACGCCATTCTCCTGCCTCAGCCTCCCGAGTAGCTGGGACTACAGGCGCCCACCACCTCGCCCGGCTAGTTTTTTGTATTTTTTAGTAGAGACGGGGTTTCACCGGGTTAGCCAGGATGGTCTCCTGACCTCGTGATTCGCCCGTCTCGGCCTCCCAAAGTGCTGGGATTACAGGCTTGAGCCACTGCGCCCGGCCCATCTGTATCCTTTCTAATCTCCTTTATAATAAACTGGTCAGCCAGGTGTGGTGACTCATGCCTGTAATCCCAGCACTTTGGGAGGCTGAGGCGGCCAGGTCATAAGGTCAGGAGTTCAAGAACAGCCTGGCCAACATGGCGAAACTCTGTCTCTACTAAAAATACAAAAATTAGCCGGGCATGGTGGCAGGTGCCTGTGATCCCAGCTACTCGGAAGGCTGAGGCAAGAGAATCGCTTGAACCTGGGAGGCGGAGGTTGCAGTTAGCTGAGATCGTGCCATTGCACTCCAGCCTTGGCAACAAGAGTAAGACTCCGTCTCAAAATAAATAAATAAATAATAAATAAAATAAACTGTTCAATGTGTTTCCTGAGTTCCATGAGCCACTCCAGCTAATTAACAGAACCCAAGGAGTGAATGGGGGAACTCCAATTTAGAGCTGGTCTGTCAGAAGCACAGATGAAAACACTTGGGGCTTGTGATTGGCATCTGAAGGGGTGGGGCAGTGTTGTGGGACTGCGCCCTCAACCTGCAGGATCTGAAGATATCTCTAGGTGGAGAATGCCAGAATTGAATGGAACTGGATGACGCCTATCTAGTGTCCACTGCAGAACTACTAGCTTGGTTGCTGGTGGGGAGAAATTCCCACACATTTTGGTTACAAAGTCACCGAAGTATTCTATGTTATGAGACTGTGGTAGGAAAATCACACTTTGTTTTTTTCTATATCCCCAGTGGGGAAGAAGTATAGGGTGTGGCTCAAAATAGTAGGAAGGAATTAGTGTTGGGGATGCTAGGTGTCATGAGACAGAAAGAAGCAGATGCCACCTGGTCCCCTCAACCAAAAGGAGCAGAGAAGAGGCGTGCCAGCTGCAACAACAGAGGGAATGTCTGTGGCCAGAGCCCTCTCCAGGCAGGCTGAAGAGAGAGGGGCCTGCTACAGGCAACAGGCCACAAAAGCAGGGAGGGCTTAGGTGAGCAAGTGCTGTCCCTGGACGGGCAGCATCGGCACTGTAATGATGTTTTCTTCTCTGGCTACAAGTCAAGGCCAAAGGAGGAGGCACCGGAATTTTCCAATTATGCTTTATGGTATTTTTTTTTTTTTGAGACCAAGTTTCATGCTTGTCACCCAGGCTGGAGTATAGTGGTGAGATCTCGGCTCACTGCAACCTCTGCCTCCCAGGTTCAAGCGATTCTCCTGCCTCAGCCTCCCAAGTAGCTGGGATTATAGATGTGCGCCACCACGCGTGGCTAATTTTTGTATTTTTAGTAGAGGTGGGGTTTCACCATGTTGGCCAGGCTGCTCTCGAATCCCTGACCTCAGGTGATCCGCCCGCCTCGGCCTCCCAAAGCGCTGGGATTGCAGGTGTGAGCCACCGTGCCCAGCCTACTGTGCTTTATACAGTACTTTTGTGATTCAGAACTGCGGACCTGAGGCTGTTTCTGGATATACCTTTCACAAATGCCAGGGATCATAAAGATTAGCAGTAGTATCGCCAAGGCTATAAATATGATAGAAAAGCCAACTGAATCAAGGTCTATAATGGTTTGCAAAATAGTGATTATCCCAACTTCATCATAACTTCCATATTTATTAGTTGGCACTCCACTCTGAATTTTCCTTCTCCTATGGATGAGTTTTATTTTTCAGTATTAAACAAATTTTTATGAGCATATATTACTGTTATAATGGGAGATAAGGCGTTTAAGGAAAGAAATCCATGTATGGAGGCTGGGTGTGGTAGCTCACGCCTGGAATCCCAGCACTTTGGGAGGCCGAGGCAGGAGGATCACCTGAGGTCAGGAGTCTGAGACCAGACCAGACAACATGGAGAAACCTCGTCTCTATTAAAAACGCAAAAAATTAGCCAGGCATGGTGACGTGTGTCTGTAATCTCGGCTACTTGGGAGGCTGAGGCAGGAAAATGGCTTGAACCCAAGAGGTGGAGGTTTCGGTGAGCTGAGACCGTGCCACTGCACTCTAGCCTGGGTGACAGAGTGAGATTCTGTCCAACCTCCCACCCCCCCCACCAAAAAAAAAGAAAAAAAAAAAGAAATATCCATGTATGGAGATAGCTTCCTTTTTTTTATTTTTTTGAGACAGGGTCTCTGTTGCCAGGCTGAAGTGCAGTGGCACGATCACAGCTCACTATAGCCTCAACCTCCCAGGCTCAAGGGATCCTCAGCCTCCCGAGTAGCTGGGACTACAGGTGTAGCTACCACACTAGGCTAATTTTTGTATTTTTGTAAAGATGAGGTCTCACTATGTTACCCAGATTGGTCTCGAACTCCTGAGCTTAAGCAATCTGCCTGCCTCAGCCTCCCAAAGTGCTGGGATTACAAGTGTGTGCCACCGCGTCCGGTGAGAGATAGATTTCTAATTCCACTTATGTTTCACAGTGAGGTCCACATACATCTGCATACAGCGTGGAGGGTGAGGGGTGCAGCTGTCAGTTCCACATTCGATTGCTCAAGCATTACACAAGAACCTTCATGAGAAAACCTGGGCCCCAGGTCTGACTGAACTCTCCAGAGACAGCGAGGGGGGAAGAAAGACTTGAGAACAAGTGCAAAGCTAACCTCAGATTCTGTCCAATGTCCCTTGCCTATCTGCTATCTGATATCCCCAAAGGAGGACAGCACTGCTGGGGTAATATCATTTGGCTGAACCTCTTTCGTATACAAACCTGCAGGTCTTTTAGATCCTTCTTGTTTTCCAGGTTGGGAGTTCTTGTTACAAAGTCATTCAGCATGCTGTCGGGAGACAGTCAGCTTCAGATTAAAAATGCCGCAGAAATAAAGTATGTGCCAAAAGAAAATATTACACAATGACAATGTGGTGACATGATACCTGAGAAGCAGAAAATACCCAGGTGGGGCTAGATTCAACTGTACAGACTCCTTCAATACTCCCAACAGTGAAGAAAAGTTCTCTTGCAAGGCTGGTACTGGAAGCCTGTTTTTTAAAAAGATAGGAAAAACACTTAACCATGAACAGGTCAAAATACAACATTTATTTATAAGCACATTTAAGATCCCGGCGGTTGGAAAGCAAAGGGTAAACAGCACACCCCACCGACCTTTTTTTCTTTTTAAAAAATTACAACATACATAAGCTAAACTTTGGTATTCTGGCGAGCACTTGGAGTTTGGGAACCTGAAATCCTACTGCTGACTGGTTTCCTTGTCTGGAAAATAAAAGCCTTAAACTAGATGATCAACCTTGATCTCTCAGGCCTTTCCTTTTTTGTAAGACAGAGTCTTGCTCTGTCGCCCAGGCTGGAGTGCAGTGGCGTAATCTCGGCTCACTGCAACCTCTGCCCCACCGAGTTCAAGTGATTCTCATTCTTCAGCCTCCCGAGCTGGGATTACAGGTGCCTGCCACCACACCGGGCTAATTTTTTGTATTTTAGTAGAGATGGGGTTTCATCATATTGGTCAGGCTGGTCTTGAACTCCTGGACTCAAGTAAATCCACTTGCCTCGGCCTCCCAAAGTGCTGGGATTACAGGCGTGAGCCACCGTGTCTGGCTGATCTCTCAGGCCTTTTTGAGCTGATATTCTGCTTCCCTAAAGTGGCTGGTAACAGAGCATCACCTGTCGGAAGGCTCCAAAGCATTAGGTCCCGGGACACTCACCAGGAAACTGGCCTACCCCCCTCTGTAGCTCTCAGGATGAGGATTCTGAGATGACTGCTCCAAAGCGAGACAGCGCAGCTCAGGAAGTGAAAGCTCAGACTGCAGTCAGAGTGTCCCAGGTCCAAGTCCTGGTTCTCCAACTTACTACCTACTGTGTGACCTAGGTGGTTCCTCCTTGGCAAAAGGAGGAAGACCAAATCTAACCTGCGGCTGCTGGGAAAGCTCGGCTATCCCTTAGGCCCCTACAGTCAACATTCGCCAGCAACACAACATATATTAGCTGTCATAGGAGGGAAGTGACCGGCTCATCTTTAACTCCTGGAGGAAAGAACGACAATGATGCTCACGGGGGAAGTGGTCTGAATTTAACCCCACCCTGGTCATCTACCAGGAGGCCTCGATTTACCGTCCTGCAACTTCAGAATGTGGTGAGTGGGAATAACCACAGAATGTTAACTGTGTGAACCAAGGAGCCTGTGCCTGGTTGTCAGAGTTATTTATAGTGAGACTCCTGATGGCTATGTAGGGATACTGAGGCTTCCCTGAGAAGTGGTCTATACTTCCCTCACCCCCTCTTTTTTTTTTTTTTGAGATAGAGTCTCATTCTGTCCCCCAGACTGCAGTACAGTGGCGTGATCTCAGCTCACGTCAACCTCTGCCTCCAGGGTTCAAGTGATTCACCTGCCTCAGCTTCCTGAGTAGCTGGGACTACAGGCATGACACCACCAAGCCCTGGCTAATTTTTTTTTGTAGTTTTAGTAGATATGGGGTTTTACTACATTGGCCAGGCTGGTCTCAAACTCCTGGCCTCAAGTGACCCACCCACTTCAGTCTCCCAAAGTGCTGCGATTATAGGCATGAGCCACCGCACCCAGCCCCCTCACCCTCATTTACAGCAACACACAGCTGCGCCTGGGATGCGGCCATTGTAAGATCTGAATGAGGTCCAGTAAAGCTTATTTTTCATCCATGGGGAAAAACCTGGGGAATCCTCTTTAATGCTCTGTTGGCTAAGACACCTAATACCTATATCAACTTAGCAAATCAAAGCCGAGACCTCTCCGCATCAAACACGGGACGGCACACTGAGAACGTCACCAGATTTTTTTTCTTTTGAGACAGAGCCTTGCTCTGTCACCCAGGCTGGAGAACAGTGGTGTGCTCTCGGCTCACTGCAACCTCCGCCTCCTGGGTTCATGCAGTTCTCCTGCCTCAGCCTCCGGAGTAGCTGGGATTACAGGTGCATGCCACCATGCCCAACTAATGTTTGTATTTTTAGTAGAGACAGGGTTTCACCATGTTGGCCAGGCTGGTCTCAAACTCCTGGCCTCAAGTGATCGGCCTGCCTCGGCCTCCCAAAGTGCTGGGATTGCAGGCGTGAGTCACTGCGCCCCACCCATTTCTCCTTTTTCTAAAAGAGGTCTTTAACACTTCCCTATCTGTGTTTTTTTTTTTCTTTTTCTGTATCAATTTAATGCAAATCTGAGCCTTTTAAAGTTTAATAGGCCTCACATAAAGCTTTGCTCATATAAAGTGTTCGAGATACAGTGTACAGATTTTAAGATGTTAACTCTCTGGAGAAGGAAAAGTACAGATCAATACCTCGGGAAGAAATGATGACAACTTTAAGATATTTTCTGAACTGTGGCTCTCTAGTAGTCTAGAAATAAAACCAGAGATATTATGCATGCTCACTGCCACAGTATCTGTATTTAAGGAAGTTTTTAGAGGACGGGAGACTGTATTACCTTTGGAGAAAAGCATAGCAAAATTGCAACACAGGAATGTCCACTAGGGGCGATTTCTGAAAATGAAAGTAAAATCAATTACTCCGGGTTGGTGGGAAATAAGGCTAAAAAGAATTCAGATACAAAGTGAAACAGATCTACAGCCTAACAAAGCAAAGGTTTTCGACTAAAGAATCTTTCAGATAAAACAACAGACATGATAGTGCCCATCATGTACAATTAAAATAAGTGTGTCCTAGGAGCCCCCAAATCATTCGCGCCCCCTTAGACGTCTACAGTGATCTCCCATCCTGTGTACCCCCTTTCCATGCCAGGCATCAGGAAGCATTTAGGGAAAATCAATATTGTAACTGAACTTCCCCAAACAGAGAGCTAGGGCCAGTGTTGACTCCAATGAATGCACATGATTACCAAGAGACAAGACAAAATTCTAATTCTTTTGCTTCTTTCTCTCTTCTCTTTTCTTTTCCTCTCTCCCTCCCTCCCTTTCTTTCTCTGTCTCTTTCTCTTTCTCTTTGACACAAGAGTCTTGTTCTGTTGTCCAGGATGGAGTACACTAGTGCAATCTCAGCTCACTGCAACCTCTGCCTCCCTCGTTCAAGTGATCCTCATGCCTCAGCCTCCCAAGTAGAGCCACCATACCCAGCCAAAAAATTCTAATTCTTAGTTTAGAAGATTACTTCAAACCCAACCCAGACAGTTTCCCCAAAAACCCTGCGGCTGGAACTACTTGGAAACAAGTTCCAAAACACACGTTTCCCTCGCTCCTTGCTTGTAAAAAGCTCTTTGCAGCTATTAATTAACTAAACTAACCACAAAATGTAGTTTTGTTATTTGAACAGCCAAAAACCAGTCAGCTAGATAAAATCCAGTTCCTTTATAGCCCAGGAAAAGACTAGAAATTGCAGGTATTTGTAGAAATTCAAGTAATGTGAAGGAACACAACCTAAAAACACTCGCTCTGGCTGTCACAGCCTCTGCAGAGCTGTCTTCAGGACAGCCCCTCGAAGAACCCCTTGGTTCTACGGCCACCAAGCCTGCAGTGGCACAGACTGCCCTGTGGCGTGTCATTCCCACTCCTAACATTTATGGACAAGAGTGAAAAGAGGCCAAGTGTGGTGGTTCACGCCTGTAATCCCAGCACTTTGGGAAGCCAAGGCGGGTGGATCACTTGAGGTCAGGTGTTCAAGACCAGCTTGGCCAACATGGCGAAACCCTATCTCTACTAAAAATACAAAAAAATTAACTGGGCATGGTGGCGCAAGCCTGTAATTCCAGCTACTCAGGAGGCTGAGGCAGGAGAACCGCTTGAACCAAGGAGGTAGAGGTTGCAGTGAACCAAGATCACGCCACTGCATTCCAGCCTGACTCCTGACAGCCTGGCTCTCTTTTTGAGAGCGAGACTCCACCTCAAAAAAAAAAAAAAAAAGGCGGGGGACAGTGGCTCACGCCTGTAATCCCAGCACTTTGGGAGGCCAAGGCCAGTGGATCATGAGGTCAGGCGATCGAGACCATCCTGGCTAACACGGTGAAACCCCGTCTCTACTAAAAATACAAAAAATTATCCAGGCACGGTGGTGGGCGCCTGTGGTCCCAGCTACTCAGGAGGCTGAGGCAGGAGAATGGCGTGAACCCGGGAGGTGGAGCTTGCAGTGAGCTGCGATCAGCCTGGGCGACAGAGCGAGACTCTGTCTCAAAAAAAAAAAAAACAAAAGTGAAAGGCAACAGGACGACCATACGTTCTTGGGAGATTGGGAGACCTGGGCCAGATCCTCAAGAAATACTATGGGAGTCATTGGGGTCCTTTTACATTTGGTGCCTTAAGCACTGAGCCGGCTCCGCAGCCCGGCCTCGCCGTGGTGTTACTGAGCCGGCTCCATAGCCTGGCCTCGCAGTGTTGTTATTTTTTAGGATGGCTTCGCTTCTCTTCTCTCTTCTTTGCCAAGCTAGAATATAGGAGGACTGAGGGCAGGAACTATTCTTTTCACTATTTAGCCTCCACCACACCACTCAGTGCACATAGGGCATTGTCGATCAACACTGGAACGAAGGAAGAGACCAGGGGCTGGAGGATAACCAGCTGGGTGACACCCAACGGCCAGGCCCTCGGGGCCTGGACATTTCTATAGGAGGCTGCCCTGCGTCATATGCGAGGCTGAAAAAAAGTCTTCTGGTCCATCTGTAGTTCATGAGTGTGATGATTGGGTGTTCATGTGCACGTGTGAGATGTGCCACCCTCAAGCCTTGTTACAATGGTCGGCACATGACCTGTCTGATGTGGAAAAAAAAAAAGTATTTCTTTCGTTTTGAGACAGGGTCTTGCTCTGTACTAGAGTGCAGTGGCGTGTTCTTGGCTCAATGCAGCCTCAACTTCCCTGGCTCAAGTGATTCTCCCACCTTAGCCTCCCAAGTAGCTGAGGCTACAGGTGGGTACTACCATGCCTGGCTAATTTTTTTTCTTTTCTTTTTTTTTTTTTTGGGTCAGGGTTTTACTTTGTTGCCCAGGCTGGTCTTGAACTTCTGGCCTCAAGCAATCTCCCTGCTTCGGCTTCCCAAAGTGTTGGGATTACAGGAGTGAGCCACCCTTTAACACTCTAAAATCATAGTATCTATCTACCTACCTACCTACCTCTATCTATCTATCTACCTACCTACCTACATCTATCTACCTACCTACATCTACCTACCTACCTACATCTATCTACCTACCTACATCTACCTACCTACCTACATCTATCTACCTACCTACATCTACCTACCTACCTACATCTATCTACCTACCTACTTCTATCTATCTACCTATCTACCTACCTACCTACCTACATCTATCTACCTACCGACCTACCTACATCTACCTACCTACCTACCTACTTCTATCGATCGATCGATCTATCTATCTGTCTACTATCTATCTATCTATCTATCTATCTATCTATCTATCTATCTGTCTACCTACCTACCTGTCTTCCTGCCTACCTCCCTATTTTTTTTAATGTGTTTCTGTCCAGTTCTTGGTTCATAACTCCTGCCCTCCTTTTACTTGTCCCAAGGCAGGACTCTAATCTGACTATGGTTCATAAGACTCTCATTCTGGGGAGGGTCCTGTCCCACACCCTGGAGGAAGGAGTGCTGTGCAGACAGGCCAAGAAGAATCTGAACCGGCAGGCCCTACTGGGTTTCCCCAGTCACTGTATTAAGTATTAGATCACATTCTTTTTGTCCAGTCACATTTCGACACGGTTGTCCATGCTTTAGTCATGCCCATCCAGTGAAGTTTCCATAAGAGGCCCAAGAGCACTGGGTTTGGTGAGCTTCCGGAGAGCAGAGCACATGAAGGTTCTGTGCCCACGGAGGGTGTGGGAGCTCCGCACCTCTTCCCCCATGCCTCGCCCTATGCACCCCTTCATCTGTATCCTTAGTAGTGGCCTTTATAATAAACCAGTAAACGTGTTTCTGGAGTTCTGCAAGCTGCTCTGACAAATTAATTGAACCCAAAGAGGGGGTTCGTGGGAATCCCAACTTGAAGCTAGTCAGTCAGAAGTTCCAGAGGCCCGGACTCGTGACTGGTGTCTGAAGTTGAGGGTGCTCTTGGGACTGAGTCCTTACCCTGTGGGATCTGACACTGTCTCCAAGCAGATAGAGTAGGAATTGAATTGGAGGACACCCAACTGGTGTCCACTGTGGACTCAATTGCTTGCCTGCTGGTGGGGAGAACTCCCCACATATCTGCGGTAAGAGGTCTTCTGTGTTGATTGTTATGTTGTTGAGGGAGGACACAGTTGAGTTTTTTTTTTTTTTTTTCCCAGATATAGAACTGTGTTAGTCCTCTTGTGACTGGCTTACTTCATTCAACTTAATGTCTTCAAGGTTCATCCATGTCGCCAGGTGCGAGGGCTCACGCCTGTAATCCCAGCACTTTGGGAGGCCAAGGCGGGCGGATCACGAGGTCAAGAGATCGAGACCATCCTGGCCAACACAGTGAAACCCCATCTCTACTAAAAATACAAAAAATTAGCCGGACGCAGTGGCGGGCATCTGTACTCCCAGGTACTCGGGAGGCTGAGGCAGGAGAATGGCATGAACCCAGGAGGCAGAGCTTGCAGTGAGCCAAGATTGTGCCACAGCACTCCAGCCTGGGCAACAAAGCGAGACTCCATCTCAAAAAAAAAAAAAAGGTTCATCCATGTTAAGGATCTGACATCCATGTTGTAGCACGTGTCAGAATTTCATTCCCGTTAAAGCTGAGTACTAACCCACTACATGCACAGATCTCACTTTGTTATCTGCGCACCCACTGATACACACATGGATTGCTTCTGCCTTTTGGCTGCTGTGAATAATGCTGCTATGAACATCAGCACACAAATATCTGTTCAAGTAAAGCTATATTTTTTAATAATCACTTTTCCATTGCACAAATTTTCTTTTTTGTGGACAGGGTCTCACTCTGTCACCCAGGCTGGAGTGCAATGGCTCCATCATAGCTCACTACATCCTCATACTCGTGTGCTCAACTGATCCTCCTGCCTCAGCCTCCCAATTAGCTGGGGCTACAAGTGTGCACTACCACCCCCAGCTAATTTTTTAATTTATTGTAGAGACGGTGTCTCCCTACGTTGCCCAGGCTGGTCTTGAACTCCTGGACTAATGTGCTAGGATTACAGGCATGAGCCACCATGCCCAGGCCCCCTAATTTTCATTTAGATTATTCTTAAATTTTTGCTAACTGTATGATTTTAAATTGTTTGACAGAAGGCAATTATTTCAAGATTGAAATAAATCCCTGGTTTTTATTAACTTAAGAGCAAAACGGCTCTGCTGCTTTCAATGATGAAGTCTGCTTTGGTAAAAACAAAAACAGAAGACTCTAAGGGAATGCAAATATTAAACCACACAGCTTGCCCTGTTTTAAGTCCACTGTGTATAACTGAAGAAGCTCTCTAGACGACCTGGGCCCTCCAGGCTGCTGTAATGAAATTGAGCAGAAAAATTACAAGGAACTTCTTGGTTCAATGACATCACCCTGAAGGTTTCTGTTTCACAGCAGCCAGATGAAATCTCTTTCTCAGAGTGTCTATCATGACTTATGTTCTCTGACATTTATTTTCTACTTTTATAAAAAATTATGCAGCCAGGCATGGTGGCTCTCGCCCGTAATCCCAGCACTTTGGGAGGCCGAGGCAGGAGGATTGCTTGAGCCTAGGAGTTCCAGACCAGTCTGGGCAACATGGCAAACCCCGTCACTACAAAAAATATAAAAATTAGTCAGGCGTGGTGGTGTGCACGTGTGGTCTCAGCTACTTGAGAAGATCACTTGAGCGTGGGGAGGTCGAGGCTATGGTGAGCTGTGATTGTGCCACTGCACTGCAGCCTGGATGACAAAGTGAGACTTCCACGCACCTGCACTCCCAGCTACCCGGGAGGCCGAGGCACAAGAATCACTTGAGCCCAGGAGGTGGAGGTTGCAGTGAGTTGAGATCGCACCACTGCACTCCAGCCTGGATGACAGTGTGAGACTCTGTCTCAAAAAAAAAAAAAAGAGGTACGCAAATTTTAGTTTGCCCTTGACAAAGACTCTCTCTTTGAGCTGACTCTAGCTAGGCTCCTCTGAGCCCTCTGCTTGACAAATGATTCTGTCCACCCCCACACCAAGGGACTTGAGCAAACACCACCAGCATGGATCCCTAGGATGGGGACACCAGTCCTCTTCAAACGCCTGCCCAAGAAAGCTCAAGGTTGCCAAAGAATTTACTGTTTGTTCCTGCCAACACCTGCAGAGAGGCCCCTGACCTCCCTTTCTCAGAGCATTTTAAGTTTACAATGATAAATACTTTCTCTGTCCCTTTGAGATGTGTATGTGTCTCCCACAGCCTAGGAATGTGTTTCTCAAGGACCTGGGAGCCATCCCTTTGAAATAGAATCACTGAGAAAGACAGAGTCTTGATCTCCCAGCCTCTGTGGGAGGGTAGGAGCCTCATTTGGATAAGCCCCAGTTAGCAAACCCAGATGGCCTAATCACATCTATGGACTGAGCAGCCTCCCTGCCTGCTCTTCTGTAATTTTCTACTTCTCCAACTCTCCTTAAATCCCTGCTCCTTCTCCTCCCTCCTCCCTCATCCTTTCCCAGTCATCTCCACACAAATCTAAACTGAACCCAGCACTTCCCCTTACCGCAGTGGTTACTGAATCACATCTGTCTTTACCACCTTTCACTAGAGTCTGGTTTTGTTCCTCTTTGACATCTTTACAGCTGCAAGTTCCTTGAGGCAGGTGCCCTTTCCCCTTTCTAAAGATTTTATTCCATTTAGTGCCCAGAAAGCGTGTACCAGGCAGTGTCCTCAGCAGCAGGGTACAAGGATGAGAGCCCCTGACCTCAGGCAGTTCCCACCTTAAAAAAGGAGCACCAAATCTTCATAGGTCTCCCCCAAAGCACAGCAAACAGCACCTCCACTTCACTACCCCAAGCAGTCCCACTCACTCTTGTTACCTATCTTTCCCTCCCAAACACAATTTATAAGGAAGTAGAGTTATGATGAATGCCACCCACTCATCTACAGAAGCCTAGAGGACTCCCCAGCCTCCTTACCTCGTCACCCCCTTTGACTTGGGGTGGCCTCTTCACCACCTCCTTCACCAGGTGCAGCAACGTGTCAGTCTGCAGGGTGCTGAGTGCACACACCAAGTCGACAAGGGTCAGCTGGGATGCACTCGCCGCTGGGATAATCTGCCAAGAAAAAAAAATTCCTTGAAAGCTTAAATAAGGATGATGTACAAAAAGTATTCTATAGTAGCCGTCCCTGGAGAAATCAATCTGCTTTCATCTTTTTTTTTTTTTTTTTTTTTGAGACAGAGTCTTGCTCTGTCACCCAGGCTGGAGTGCAGTGGCGTGATCTCGGCTCACTGCAACCTCTGCCTCCCAGGTTTAAGCGATTCTCCTGCCTCAGCCTCCTGAGTAGCTGGGATTACAGATGCCCACCAACATGCCTGGCTAATTTTTGTATTTTTAGTAGAGACAGAGTTTCGCCATGTTGGCCAGGCTGGTCTCAAACTCCTGATCTCAGGTGATCTGCCCGCCTGGGTCTCCCAAAGTGATGGGATTACAGGTGTGAGCCACCACGCCCAGTCTGTTTTAATCTCTTAAACAAACATTTCCTATTGAACTAAGTAAAGGCTCCACCCATGGGAACAACATAATTTGATACAAATTAGGAATAAAAGGTGCAGTCCCTGATGGGGCTATAATAGTGGTATGTTTGAATTTAGTAGAAAGCATTTTAGAAACATATATACTAAATTTGAAGGAAACAAGCGGTGGAATCAAAAATACGAAGACAGGAAGGAAAAACAGATAAACCAGACTCCCATTTGCTGGCCTTGGAAGGAAAGGCCTGGTATGGGAGGCATATTTTTGATGACATAAGTCTGCACACCCTGGTCACGGGCATTTGGAAGAACAACAACTAGCGCCAGGCTCCTCACCAGGGAAGGAGCCCACAGGTGCTCAGGAGGGTGGCATCGGACACCGACCACTGACCCTTCCTCAGAGAACAGGTGCCCATGTCAGCCACAGAGGCTGAGCACTGGGGGAGTGTCCAGGAGGTGCAGCAGCAGACCCTGAGCAGGGGATGGAGCAGGGGTGGGAGGGAACAAAGAGGACTGAGGTTGAAAACAGTAGGCCAACCCCTGCAGGACTTCATGGTGGACCAGTCAAGTGGATAAAGAATGGGCAAAATGCAAACTGAAATTAATCTTTGGGCTCACGCCTGTAATCCCAGCACCTTGGGAGGCCGAGGTGGGCGGATCACGAGGTCAGGAGTACGAGACCAGCTTGGCCAACATGGTGAAACCCTGTCTCTACTAAAAAATACAAAAATTAGCTGGCCATGGTGGTGGGCACCTACAATTCCAGTTACTTGGGAGGCTGAGGCAGAAGAATCACTTGAACCCAGGAGGTGGAGGTTGCAGCAAGCCAAGATCGCACCACTGCACTCCAGCCTGGGTGACAAGAGAGAGACTCCATCTCAAATCGATAAAATGATTAAATCAACTCAATAGTTTCCCATGCTGGCCTCCAATGTCACCTTTGACTCCACATGATTCTGTGGTATTTCTTTGTCACGGTAAGTTTAACTGCTGCTCTAACTTTTTAAACTTTACCTTCATCTTACTGTGACGCTGGGCTTTCTTTCTGCTCCACACTGCCGCAACAGCTGCTGTCAACTGAACCCCAAGATGGGCCGTCAAGGGGTTTAAGAAGTCTAAAATTTTCTGTCTTATGGTCTAGAAAATAGGAAAAAAAAAAGTTACTGCGGGATAATATTGGGGCTACGGCATCCTATACATTGAACCAGCACCTGCTGTCCATTCCCGAGATCAAGGACCCTGTCATGTTCGTGCCCAATGCTGTGCTGAGGTGCTTCCCTGATGGGTGGATCCCAGCAAAGGGAGGAATCAGAACCCTTTCTGGAAGGAGTTGGATGTGTGATGGTGGCGTGTCATGCCGGGGGGAAGGAGCAGTGAACGGCCAAGGTGGAGAGACGGACGGCCAGCTCGACTGGCCAGGTTGGGAGACGGACGACCAGCTTATTGGCCAGGTGGAGAGACGGATGGCCAGCTCGATTGGCCAGGTGGAAAGAGTGAGGGCCAGCTCGATTGGCCAGGAGCATCTCGGGAGATGATGAGTTTCACCCTTGCTGCTGTGAACACAGCAGGGGTCTTGCAGGAAGGCCGGCAAGGCTTTGCAGCACTGTTTCCATCTGGAAATCCCACAGCCTCAGCTTGACTCCATCAGCTGCGATGGAGGGCTTATATTCATTAGGAAAGTTCTTGCTCAATTTCCAGAAATAAGCACCATTTAACTAATTTTATCATGTAATCAATTTAATTAAACCTGTAACATGGTCCCGATGTCACTCACCACCTTCCGCTTTGCTACTGATGAATTTCTCTGTGTTCCTGCCACGTTCCTCGCTCTGTAAATCCTGCTGCTCTCCCAGCCTGAAATGCCCACCCTAGTTAAATCCTCTCCACCTGGGGCCTCAGCTAAGTCACGCTGCCTCAGGAACCCCAGACCAGGCCAGGGCTCTTGTTCACACATTCTCAGGAAACCCTGCGTTTCTCTGAAGCCTTGCTCACATCGTTATTACACCGCCAGTTAATGTCTGCCACAGCCAGGGGGCAGGGACTTCATCTCTCTTGTCCCCTGGTAAAGCAAGAGAGCCTGGTGCTTGGCAGCAGGCACAAAACGTCTTGTCAAAGGGACGGATTTACCCAGCGCTTCCTGTGTCAACTGCCCATGTTTATTCCACATTAGATACAACTGAGTCAGCATGGAGCTGTCCCCTCCTTTCCACCATGGTTTCCGCTCTAGAGTGACTAATGGGGGATCCCGCTCCTCGGCCCTGAGTTCCTCAGGGAGGGCTAAGAGTTAAGTGCCTAATGAGCATCAGCCTTTATCGTAATTACTCTTCCCACCAACCCATGAGGATAGGATGCTAGCCACAGCCTGGTTTAACAGAAGAGGAAATGGAGGCTCAGAGAGGCTGAGTGCTACAGGAAGATCCTCTAAAAAAGGTTTAGAAAATCTTTTTTTCCTGAGTGAGAAAAAAGGTTTTCTGAATCTTTTTAAGAGCAGGTTCTTGTAGAAGCTTGAAATACAGAACTCCCTTCTAGGGCACCCTTGGAATCGACAGAATGTCTGGAGGCCACCTGTGCACCATGGCACCTAAACGCAGGATGGCAAGGCTCATCCCTGAGGCCACAGATGGCACCTGGGGGCACTCAACTGATGTCAGATGTGGCAGATAATTCTGAGACACCACACACAGTAACACAGATGGTGAGCGACCGAGTCCTGCGCCTACGGCCTTCTGAGGCAGACACTGAAAATGGAAGAAGACTAAACTATAATATAAATATTCATGGTTGTACATTTTTGGTTTAAGAACTCAAAGGCACCCTGACATTCCATACTGATGGGGCCACGTTTGATAGGCACCACTAAAAGCAGAACAGAGATGAGCTGTCCAGCAGAAATGCTTTAGAGACTCAAGACTTGGGTCTCTAAATCATTTAGAGGTGAGGATCTAGGTACCCCCGCCTTGAACCACTGGAGACTATTTTTTTTGAGACAGGGTCTCACTGTCGCCCAGGCTGGAGTGCACTGGCATGATCTCAGCTCACTTCAACCTCCACCTCCTGGGCTCAAGCAATCCTCTTGCCTCGGCCTCCTGAGTAGCTGGGACTACAGGCGCCTGCCACCATATCCAGCTAATTTTTGTATTTTTTGTAGAGATGGGGTTTTGCCATGTTGGCCAGGCTGGTCTCGAACTCCTGAGCTCAAGCATCACCCATCTTGGCCTCCCAAAGTGCTGGGATTACAAGCATAAGCCACCGTGCCTAGCTCTAGAGATTTTATTTATTTATTTATTTATTATTATTTTTGAGATGGGGTTTTGCTCTGTTGCCCACACTGGAGTGCAGTGGTGTGATCTTGGCTCACTGGGTTCCAGCGATTCTCCTGCCTCGGCCTCCTGAGTAGCTGGGATTACAGACACGTGCTACCACACATGGCTAATTTTTGTATTTTTAGTATAGACAGGGTTTCACCATGTTGACCAGGCTGTTCTTGAACTCCCGACCTCAGGTGATCCATCCGCCTGGGCCTCCCAAAGTGCTGAGATTACAGGTGTGAGCCACTGTGCCCAGCCAAGGCTTTATGTTTAACTACAAAATAAGGTGAATGGAAAACTAGAAGAAAACAGGCTGAAACCACTCGGACTCCTCCATTTAAGGTATAGGAAACTTACTGATAACAAACGAACCAGAGATTTCTACTTCTGACCTCTGACTTGGGTTTCATTGAGCACATCTGTTTATTATGCACACTTTCCTATACATATTTATTTTGGGTGGAACAATACAAGACCAAGTAAATGACAGAACTACAGAGACATCCTCTTACTTTGGTGGTTTTAAAGTAAACGGAAGAGGATCCCTTTGTGGCCCCTAGGAGATCGACAGGTCTCTTTTGAGTCTCCTCCTTTCTGAGAACATTCCAGAGAAGGGCCATGGTGTTAACAGTTCGAGGCAGCTCTTCCAAGATGGCATTTCTGGCATTCCTCAAGTTGGCAGGATCACCTGTGGCCATGGTCTAAAAATTAAAATGAATACATGAGGCCGGCTTTGTCTATGGAATGGTTTTTCTTCCCATAAGGGCAGCAGTGCTGGCGGGATTAAGTCTGGGCTGTTGGACTCTCTTCTAAGCAACTCATACATGTGGTGGTGTAGGAGCAATAAGCTTCCCTGTGCATTTCAACCCATGGTTCTCTTTCACAGAGACAGCTATGAGTCTGATGTTCCAAATTACAAACTTTTCAACCACTCAACCAAAGTGTTAGATGGATTCTAAGACTTAATCCCACACAGGGTAGAATAACCAAGCTAAAATGTCTGCCAACTCAGATTTCACGAACACTATGACAGAAAGTAAAAAATATGTGGAAAAAGATGACTATAAGCCTAAAAATCAAACAAGTGGCTTTATATGTTATCTCATAGGCTACTGATGGAACAATGGGCAGAGGGCTGGCACAGGGATTGCCAGCAGGAAGAAAACTATGTTTTCATGGCTGACATACATACATTACTTACACACATGCATTTGCGTTAATTATATACATGCATTTGCATATGCATTTGCATATATACTTGCATTGCTAACACACATGCATTTGCATACATGTGTACATGACTTATGTAATATTTGCATACACATTTACATTACTTCCATATGCACATTAGTTACATACATTACATACATATGTTACTTATTTGAAACAGTCATAAACCAAAGACAAAACAATACATGAAAATTGCCTTGAACTCAGGAAAAAAAAAATTTACCTTTTTGTTTTGGTTGGCTTGTTCCAAAAGACAAAAATGACTAATAGTCGTCAGACCTTCTAAAAGGGTGAGTGGATAATCTGGAGAAATATTTTCCCTCTTGGAGGTTGTGCTGTGGTGAAGAAAAGAGAAATTGGTTTGAGAATTTTTAAAGAATGAGGCCATAAGGGTTTCTAATCCTACATATAAACACAGGAACTAGAGAGAGATCACCATCTCAAATAAACTGGAGCTCTCGTCATGGAATATCATTATAATAATGTTAACCATCCTTTGTGCAATTTTACATTCATATAGTCACTTTGGAAAAATAGTTTCAATGTTTTAGAATTTCTGTGAAGATGATTCACATTTTTATTTCTGTTTTGCAAAAATAGTAGAGAGCAGCTGACATGCCCTGCAACACTGAGCTAGACTGGATACCTGTGTGGATTTAACATAAAGGATCAGGGCTGGGTACAGTGGCTCACTCTAGCGCCTCAGCACTTTGGGAGGCCAAGGCAGGTGGATTGCCTGAGCTCAGGAGTTCAAGACCAGCATGGGCAACACGGTGGAACCCCGTCTCTACTAAAATACAAAAAATTAGCCAGGTGTGGCAGCAGGCGCCTGTACTCCCAGCTACTTGGAAGGCTGAGCCAGGAGAATTGCTTGAACCCGGGAGGCAGAGGTTGCAGTGAGCTGAGATCACACCACTGCACTCCAGGCTGGGTGACAGAGACTCCGTCTCAAAAATAAATAAAATAAAATAAAATATAAAATAAAATAAAATATAATAAATAAAATAAAATAAAATACAAAATAAAATAAAATAATATAAAATAAAATATCAGAACATTTAGTTGCCTGCTATCCTTCTCGACAATGCTAAACAGGCTTCTCGGTGGGATGAAATTATCCTCCAACCGACATCTGTGACAAAACAGTCATTCGTTATAAAAACCATCACTAAGGCAATAAACATGTCACAAAGAGCACAACGCACCTGACAGAGAGCTTCACAGATTCGCTTTCATACTGCTTGACCAAGTCATCCAAGTTTTTGCAAATCTGGACAACAAAGGGTGTCACTGTCCAGCCCAGGGACTTTCCGAAGTAGGGCAAGGAATGCGTGACCAAGCTCACCCAGGCGGGATGCATGCCGTAGCCGTAGGCGGGCTGCAGACCCCTCACCACCGCAGAGACCAGCAGCCCCTGGGAGGTGAGGGGGTGCGGCTGCACGTACTGCAGGGCGCTGATGGCCTGCTGGAAGTTCAGGGCTCTCTGCCACTCCCGGGACAGGTCCGGCTGGTTTTCCCCCTCCTCGTGGGCCCGGCCTAGGTGGTGCTCCAAGACAATCAGCACCTGCAGCAGCTTCAGCAGCTCAATCTGCAGTGGGTGCTCACTCCAGATCTGGTCCTGACCCAAGTTGATGAGACTCTCCTCAAAGAGGCTGTCCTCCGGCAGGGCCCTGCCGTGGTGGGCGGTGGCCAGCCCGTAGCGCTTCTGGCTCGTGTACATGGACGCCGACAGGGAGAGCAGGACGAACTCCTGAACTTTGCACCTCTGCAGCAAGCTGTGGATGAATTCCACGTTCTTCCCTTCCGAAGACTTGGCCACCGAGACCAGCTGCATCATGATCCTGATCAAAACCTCGACACTTTTGACCTGCACGTCCCGGTTGCCGAGGATGTCTCGGTGCGTCACCTTCAAATAGCAGGGGTAGTAGGAGCGCAGGAAGCTCAGGCAGAGGTAGGTGAGCAGCTCCAGGAGCAGAGAGTGGGGGCACACGTTGGGGGCCTGGGTCTGGAGCTTTCCGTAGAAACTCTGGCCAATAAGGGCCTCCTGGTGGCGAGCCAGGAGGTTGGAGATGAGGTTGAGGTGCGCGGTGGAGCTGGTGTCCATGCTAGTCCTGGACACGGCCTCGATGAACTCCTTAGGGTTGGTTTTGAGCACAGCCTCCAGCACCGAGAAGGCATAGAGGACCCGCCGAGAGTCGTAGGGCTGCAGGTAGAGCAGGATGTGCTTGAACAAGGCCTCGACGGCCTCCTGCCTTTCCCGCTGCTGCTTCAGCAGCCTGGACGTAGTGAGGGCCTGGAGCTCCAAGTCGGCCTCCTCATCGCTGGAGAACGATTCAGAAGCCTGCGTCTTGTCCGAGTCCACTCGCACCAGGCTTAACTTGGCCCCAGCCTTGAAGCTTTCTGACTGGAAGGCCGCCAGCAGGGCCGAGCGCTTGGGGTATGCCCTGCCTCCCATGGGGATGGGCGCACAGCAGTTCTCTTCATTGCTCAGCTCCTGCGGGTCGTGGGAAGGGGAGGAGAAGGAGGATGTGTTCTCGCTGTCCGTGTGGCCGGAGCTCGTGTCTGCGGACTCGGTGTGCTCGCTGCTGTCTGGGGCGCCGTGGGCCGTCCTGTCCGGAAGCTCCACGTAGTAGGGCAGCTCTTCCTCGCTCAGCTCGCCTCGTGGCGGGTACTTCTCGGGCTCCTTCTCCACTTCGGCCCAAATGGCTTCACGGTCCACCGTGGTGAACTGGCTCAGAGGCAGGTGCTCTTCAGAGCCGCTCTCCTGAGGCTCGGGCCCTGCAGATGCTTCTCTGAAAGAGGTTTTTTTCCTGTTAAACCAACGGTGCCAGTCATCTGAAAATGACAAGATGACAAACGACTTTAGAACAGAAGGCTCAGCTGTGACACATTAGCTGTAGGGCGGTCTTTGTCTTAAAGCCAGACAGAAAGATTAATCTTCCTAAAACCCTCACATGAACCACCACCACCAGAGTCCGGGTTATATTACAGACAAAAGCAGACAAAGGAAGGTGGAGAGGTTTTACAGAACGTTCAAGGATGGGATCATTTAGTTACATCGTTATAGTAAACTTCAGTATCATAACTCTTTGGGGGCAGCAATTTTTAAAAACACGTATTATTTTTTCCTAGGAATTCCCTTTCAAGAAATGTATCCTGGCCGGGCGCGGTGGCTCACACCTGTAATCCCAGCAATTGGGAGGCCAAGGCAGGTGGATCACCTGAGGTCAGGAGTTTGAGACCAGCCTGGCCAAAATGATGAAACCCCGTCTCTACTAAAAATACAAAAAGTTAGCTGGGCATGGTGGCGGTCCCCTGTAATCCCAGCTACTCGAGAGGCTGAGGCAGGAGAATCGTTTGAACCCAGGAGGCAGAGGTTGCAGTGAGCTGAAATTGTGCCAGTGAACTCCAGCCTGGGCAACGAGAGCAAAACTCCATCTCAAAAAACAAAAAAACAGAAATGTATCCTGCAGAAATGTCAGCAGAAGACTTTCAAAGTCATAAGGATGTGGATATTCACCAAAATGTCATGTGTGTATAAAGACAAACTGGAGGCCGGGTGTGGTGGCGCGGTGGCTCATGCCTGTAATCCCAGCACTTTGGGAGCCTAGGCAGGCAGATCACCGGAGGTCAGGAGTTTGAGACCAGCCTGGCCAACATGGAGAAACCCCGTCTACTACAAATACAAAAATTAGCTGGAGGTGGTGGTGCGTGCCTGTAGTCCCAGCGTGGGAGGCTGAGACAGGAGAATCACTTGAACCTGAACGACGGAAGTTGCAGTGAGCTGAAATCACGCCACTACACTCCAGACTGGGCAAGACTCTGTCTCAAAAGAGTGAGACTCTGTCTCAAAAAGAAAAAAAAAAAGAAAGAAAAAATCAAGCCAGGTACAGTGGATTATGCCTGTAATCCCAATACTGTGGGAGGTCAAGGTAGGAGGATTGTTTGGGAGGCCAAGGTAGGAGGATTGCTTGAGCCCAAGAGTTCCAAACCAGCCTGGGCAACATGGAAAAACATCACTTCTACAAAAAATTTAAAAGCTATCTAGGTATGGTGACACACACTGGTAGTCCCAGCTACTCGGGAGGCTGAGGCTGGAGGGTCTCTTGAGCCCAGGAGTTCGAGACTGCAGTGAGGTATGATGGTGTCACTGCACTCCAGCTTGGGCAACCGAGTGAGACCCCTGTCTCTAGAAAGAAAGGAAAAAAAATCAAGCAGCAGGAGAGTACTGTATAGAATGAGCCCAGTTAGGAGAGAATATGTATAATACGCAGCCACCAGGAAAGTCTGGAAGACTACCTGCCAAACCATTAACAATCACGAGTTCTATCAACGAGCTTTACAAAGGACTTCCATTCAGGTTTTTACGTCCTCATTATTTCCATTCTAAAAATAAGCATGGCCGGGCGCGGTGGCTCACCTGTAAAATCACCAGCACTTTGGGAAGGGCCGAGACGAGGCGATCAACGAGGTCAGAGATCGAGACATCCTGGCTAACACGGTGAGAACCCCGCTCTCAAATACAAAAAAACTAGCCGGGGTCGCAGGGTGTGGCGCTGTAGTCCAGCTTCAGGAGGCTGGAGGGGCAGGAGAATGGCGGGAATCCCGGGAGGGCGGGAGGCTTGCAGTGAGCTGAGATCAAAAAAAAAAAAAAAAAAGCATGTTACTACTTCTATAGTCAGAAAACATATGACACTTTTAAATATTCAAGTCTCTTTTAGGAGAAGTCAAACAGGCCACTGACCACTGCCTATTTTTTTTAAAAAAAGAAGTGAGTCAAAAGTCTTTGATATTGCCAAACATTTTTAATAAGCAGTGTTCAATAAATCTATGCCATGAACCGGGCATGGAGGCTCATACCTGTAATTCCAGCACTTTGGGAGGCTGAGGTGGGCGGATCACTTGAGGCCAGGAGTTTGACACCAGTCTGGCCAACATGGTGAAACCCCATCTCAACTAAAAATACAAAAATTAGCTAGGCGTGAAGGCACGTGCCTGTAACCCCAGCTACTCAGGAGGCTGAGGCAGGAGAATGGCTTGAACCCGGGAGGCAGAGGTTGCAATGAACCAAGATTGCGCCACTGCACTCCAGCCTGGGCCATAGAGCGAGACTCTATCTCAAAAAAAAAAAAAAAAAAAAATCTGTCATTCTCATAAGGTTTTTAGGATGATCAAACAAGATAAAGCACACAAAAGAACTTTAAAAAAAATCTATGTCATGGAATTAAGCAAGATCAAAAATGGAAGAATATCAGAAATTGATGAGCTGCTCGAAGTGCATAGCAGTATTTTAAAAATAGATTTCTACAGGATTACAGAAGTAGGGTAGGGTAAGCAGGACACTTATTTTTTTCAGAGAAAGAAAATGGCAGAGCAAAGACGTTCTCTCCTACTTGGAGGTGGCAGACTGTTTCTGTGGTCAGCAGGAAACAGATTAGAGGAAGCAGCAAGATAGTGCCGGGTGACTTTTAAAGACCAAGGAAGGCTAGGCGCAGTGGCTCACACCTGTAATTCCAGTACTTCGGGAGGCCGAGGCAGGCGGAACACTTGAGCTCAGGAGTTCAAGACCAGCCTAGCCAACACGGCGAAACCCCCATCTCTACTAAAAATACAAAAATTAAGGCTGGGCGTGGTGGCTCACACCTGTAATCCCAGCGCTTTGGGAGGTTGAGGCAGATGGATCACCTGAGGTCAGGAGTTCAAGACCCAACCTGGCTAACATGGTGAAACCCCGTTTCTACTAAAAATACAAAAAATTAGCTGGCTGCGGTGGCCAGCGCCTGTAATCCCAGCTACTCAGGATGCTGAGGCAGGAGAATCACTTGAACCTGGGAGGCAGAGATTGCAGTGACTTGGGATCACGCCACTGCACTCCAGCCTGGGCGACAGAGTGAGACTCTTCTTCTTCTTCTTCAAAAAATAAATAAATAAATAATAATAATAATAAAGCCCAAGGAACTATGGAGATAGAGCTTTCCTCTTAAAATAGAAAAGAAATACTAAAAAATGTAGCTGCCATGAATTGTAGCCAAACTTTTAAGAAGGTTCTTTGTTTACACTTCAGTTTTACTTTCTTATAATGTGGAACAATAAAAATTGATAGGGCCTATTTGATAGGGCAGCCAGCTTTTCCCCTAAAGAAAAACCAGAGGTTAGAGGTTTAGGCCAGGAGCCCTACAAAGACAGGAAGCCATTTAATATACTTCTGGTTACTTAGCTGATGGGCTGCTTTTCTCTGTAAGATAAGATTGAGACAGCCAGGAGAGGTGGCTCATGTCTGTAATCCCAGCAATTTAGGAGGCCGAGGCAGGCAGATCATTGGGGGTCAGGAGTTCGAGCCCAGCCTGACCAACATGGTGAAACCCTGTCTCTACTAAAAATACAAAAAGAAAAAAAAAAAATTAGCCAGGCGTGGTGGTACATGCCTGTAATCCCAGCTACTCAGGAGGCTGAAGCAGGAGATTCACTTGAACCCAGGAGGTGGAGGCTGCAGTGAGCTGAGATCATGCCACCGCACTCCAGCTTGGGTGACAGAGCGAGACTCTGTCTCACACACACACAAAAAAGATTGAGATAAATACAGGGTATTTATAACCCAGCAAGCTTGTTGTGGGAAACTGAGGACTAGAGAGACGGATATGGGAAAATAGGAGGACATTTATTTTATTGTATGCACTGGCTCAGTGGATTCACATCCAAAAAACTGAGCATTGAACAGAGTGACGGGGTTTTTACAAGCAGGCTTATAGAAGCAAAACAAAAGCAGTTAATCATATGACAGGTCACGTAATCTATAGCATAACTGATGACTTGGCATAACTTGTGGCCTTGCATAGCTGGTGGCCTTGTAGCTGCGTTGAAAGAAAAAACAAATACTGGCTAAATACAGACATTTGTCCTTTCGTTTCTACTACACCCCTTGTTCCGGAGTTGGGGTGTCTGGAGTCTATTCCTTTGGTTTCAACTTCTCGAACAGCATTAGCTTATAACTATCCTTGAAGTGAGCTTGCTAGGCAGAGGAAAACTTGCTCTTCTTTTCTTTTCTTTTCTTTTTTTTTTTTTTTTTGAGATGGAGTCTCACTCTGTGGCCCAGGCTGGAGTGCAGTGGTGCGATCTCGGCTCACTGCAAGCTCTGCCTCCCGGGTTCATGCCATTCTCCTGCCTCAGCCTCCCGACTGGCTGGAACTACAGGCGCCTGCCACCACACCCAGCTTAGTTGTTGTATTTTTAGTAGAGACAGGGTTTCACCGTATTAGCCAGGATGGTCACAGTCACGGGTCACAGGCCTGACCCCGTGATCCGCCCACCTTGGCTTCCCAAAGTGCCAGGATTACAGGGGTGGGCCACCGCCTGGCCCTTCTTTACTTTTTAACCCTTGTCTTGCCACATTCTAGGCCTTGGCTTTTGCTTCTTAGACTAGGGCACTACAACCTTCTTATAGCCTTGTCTGTTACTTTTCTTTGAGTGAACGAATGCAGTACTTATTATTGTTATTATTTAAATTTCTGCCTCAAGCTAAACAAACTCACTCAAAGTTTGCAAACCATCCCTTAGAAAATTGGGAAGTCATTAAATACAGCTATTGTAGGAAGTAATGGTAGTTCATAAAATGCATTCGATATTAATCATCGAAGTTTAATTGACTCATCAGGCTTAGTTTTTCTTTTCTTTCCTCATTTCTACCTATATTCTTTTTTTTTTTTTTTTTTTTTAAGAAGTCTAGTTCTGTCGCTCAGTCTGCAGTGCAGTGGCGCGATCTTGGCTCACTGCAAGCTCCGCCCACCGGGTTCACGCCCTTCTCCAGCCTCAGCCTCCCAAGTAGCTGGGACTACAGGCGCCCACCACCATGCCCGGCTAATTTTTTTGTATTTTTAGTAGAGACGGGGTTTCACCGTGTTAACCAGGATAGTCTTGATCTGACCTCGTGATCTGCCCTCCTCGGCCTCCCAAACTGCTGGGATTACAGGCGTGAGCCACCACACCCAGCCAGTATTGCCTACTTTTATAATATGCAACAAACCTGTACAGCATGTTGCTGTACTGAACACTGCAGGCAATGGAACACAATGGTACATATTTGTGCATCATTTAGATATATTTAATATCTACACATAGGATAGGTAAGGTAAAAATACGGTATTATAATCTTCTGGGACCACTGTCGTATATGCAGTTAATCTTTGACTACAATGTCCTTCTGCAGTGCATGACTGTATGCCAATTTTCAGGGGTAACAATCTATCATCTCCTCCTCTCATCTTCTCCATATTTTATGTCCTAACTCCTCACCTCAAATGTCTTTTAAAAATGACATTTTTTGCCTAACTTAACTCTTATTTAACTATTTGTATCACTATATCAATTATTGCTCTCCATCCACTATAATACTAAATATGTTTATTTCTGTTTTTATTATTCTATTCTTTTTTTTGAGATTTTTTGTAATCCTACACTTTGGTGAGGCCAGACGGCGGGATCACGAGGTTCAG